GCCCTTGACTTTCAGGGCAAGATCAGGCAGATCCTACAGCCTCTCTGGGTTTCCATTTTCCTGCAGAAACTCAACACTGACCCATGGCATCCAAGGATGTAGGAGGTCCAGTGGAATAAGGGGCCAAAATAAGAACATTCAAAACAGAGCTGGAAGGAGCCCCCGCACGGAGGAACCACAGGGGGTTGTAGTAAGCAGGCAGGCTGTGCTGGGCCGGGTCTCTCTGAGAAACTCTGCCTGAGGGGGCACGCACCTTCCAACCACCATGAGCAAGGGCTTGAGGCCTGTGCTCAGCTCCAGCCTAACTGTGCTGCTGATCAGCTCCTCTGTTCCTCCCTGGCCTTGGTGCCTCAGTCTTCCGAGCTATGAAATGGAGTCGTCTAGGGTGCTCATAGGCTCCCTAGTCAAACAGGGTGTGGAAAGAGCAGAATTAATAAATGGGATGGAATCAAACTAAACCGTTATTTCACAGCAGAGGAAACATCAAGAACCTGAAGAGAGAGCCTACAGAATGGGAGAAAATCTTTACCACATGCACCTCAGATACAGCAGTAACCTCTAGGATATATAAAGAACCAAAAAATAATAATGATAAAAATAAATGGGCTGTGGAACTTAACAGACACTTCACAGAAGAAGAAATACAATCAATAAACATACACGAGAAAAAATATTCAACATCTCTAGCCATTGGAGAAATGCAAATCAAAACTACACTGAGATTCCATCTCACTCCAGTCGGAATGTCCATTATCAAGAATACAAGCAGCAATAAATGTTGGTGAGGATGTGGGAGAAAGGTATACCCATACATTGCTGGTGGGACTGCAAATTGGTGCAACTACTATAGAAGGCAGTATGAAGATTCCTTAGAAAACTTGGAGTGGAACCACCACTTGATGCAATTATCCCACTCCTCTGTGTATACCCAAAGGACTTAACATCAGCATGCTACAGTGACACAGTCATACCATCCATGTTCATAGCAGCTCAATTCACAACAGCTAAGCTATGAAACCAACCTAGGTGCCCTTCAACAGATGAATAGATAAAGAAAATGTGGTAAGTATACATAAAGGAAAATTAAACTTAAAGAAGAATAAAATTATGGCATTTGCAGGTAAATGGATAAAGCCAGGGAATATCATGCTAAGTGAAACAAGCCAATCCCCAAAAAACAAAGTCTAAATGTTTTCTTTGATATGTGGATGCTAATTCACAATACATTGGTGGAGGGTTAGGGAAGAATAGAGGTACTTTGGATTAGATAGAGGAGAATAAGGGAGACTAAGAGGTATGGGAGTAAGAAGGACAGTAGAATGAATTGGATTGGACATTATTACCCTCTGTGCATATATGACTACAAGACCAGTGTGATTCTTTTTTTTTTTTTTTTTTGGTACTGGGTATTGAGCTCAGGGGCACTCAACCACTGAGCCACATCCCCAGCCCTATTTTGTATTTTATTTAGAGACAGGGTCTCACTGAGTTGTTAAGCATCTCACCATTGCTGAGGCTGGCTTTGAACTCTTGATCCTCCTGCCTTAGCCTCCTGAGCCGTTGGGATTATAGGCATGCACCACCACACCCATCATAAGACCAGTGTGATTCTACATCATGTACGACCAGGGGAATGAGACGTTATACTCTATTTATGTATGATGTGTCAACATGCATTCTACTGTCAAGTATAACAATTAGAACAAATAAAAGAGAGAGAGAGTGAAAGGAGACAGGGAGAGAGAGGGGGAGGGAGAGGCTGCACTGAGCACTCACGCCCTGGTGGTTGTTGAGGATCACAGGGCAGATAGACTGGCCCCACTCAGCACCAAGCCTGGCCCTATCCACCCCTCATTCCTCCCGGCTTTCCTGATGGAGGCATTTTCTTGAGGAAGAAGGCCCTGGGAAGAGGAAGAAAAGATAGAAGAGCTTATTCTTCCCCAGAGTAATGGTGGAGTCCTTGAGGCCACACCCTTCTTTTAGCACATCTACCCCTAACCTTAGCCCAAGCACCCAAGAATCACTTTTGTGCCCTCTGGTTTCTGAAGGATAGTTGACCAGCTTCTCTGAGTCCCCTGCACTGGATTAAAGAATCCTCAACCAACTTCCTGCCGTTGTCTTGTTTCGATTGGGTAAGGTCCTTTGTTCATTGGTTCATTCATTCAATCTGTGATCATGTGTTGAACACCTACTCCATGCTGGATACTGAAGATACAAAGATCATTGCTGCCTTTAAAAAATCCCCTCCTGTTGGGGGACAGTCAAGAAATACAAAAGAATATCCCCTCTGTGGAGAGGAAGGCTGGGGAATGCCCCTTCCCTGCTCAACAGGGGGAAGCAGTGCCCTGTAGGGCCTGTAGGTGGCAGCAGAGGCTCACAGCAACCTGAGGGGGTGCAGGGCACCTGGGGGGGGCAGCCACCCAGCCGAGACTGTGATAGAGTGGACTGGTGGAACTGAGCTGAGTGGAAAGAGAGGCCGACATTTCCAAAGTGCCTATGTACTCCATCCTTGGAAAGAAGTGTCTTGGTCCTATGTCTCCACCCTTTGCTGTTGTACAGATGCCTTTCCATTACCTTTGGGAGTCAGAGACCTAGGAAGCTCAAAGCAGACTGAGCTGCTACCACAGGTGTGCCCAGCGTTGTGCACACACTCTGGGAAAACCTCACCACCACCCCGAACACCAGCTGTCATCATCCGATTTTATAAACCAGGAAATGAAGACACAGCAGCGAAGGTGATGTGGAAATGATGGAAAGGGATTCAAAGCATGTATCTGGTCCTCCTTCCCCTAGGGGTCCCCTGGGCTCTGACACAGAGGCTCTTTGCTGGGGGGAAAGATGTCTCTAGCTGTTGGCCAGGGAATTCCAGAATTAAGCCCAACTCAATTTTGCAGTGGACTTTCCCAGACATGGAAAGGCTGCCTCTTTCTTTCAGCTGCTGATCCTCCTTTCCCTCCCATAGCCTCTGCCCTCCACTGACCTTTTCTCATTGTGACCACATGAATGCAGCTCGCATGCCCACCAGCGTGAGATCATAACAGAAATGAGTTGTCATATCCCTTTCCCAGCTTACTACTTCAGAATTATTAATTCAGATGACTCTAAGCCAGTCCGTGAGTGAGTTGGGTGATTTTATTATTCCCATTTTACAGACGGGGAAATGGAGGGTCAGAGAATGTTTGACCCCAAAGAGGGCACACGTCCTACTATTTTTTTCCAAACAACCTCTGCTTTGGACCTTTACTTGATCATCCCTTTGGAAAGTAACATGGGCAGGAAGTTTTCAGAGAATCCCTTCATTCTTCCCTCCTTTCTCCCCAGTCCTTCAGTCCTTCAAGGTCCAGCATGCACCCCAGTCTAGAAGGCTGCACCAAGGATTCCAGTCTACTCGGGTGTCCCTCTTCCTCGAGCTCTTGCTCCTTTTCCCTCTGGATGTTCTAAGTCATGCTGCACAGTCTACGGAGATTGTGTGACATATGGTTGTGGGAGACATGTTTGAATTCGTTACCGGTTGTGTGATTCTGAGCAAGTTACCTAGCCTCTCTGGGCCTCTTGGAAGTCTCAGTTCCTCTATAAAAATGGACATAATGGATGTACCTCCGCCAGAGTCACTGTACAGACTCAGTTAGCTGCCCACTGCTCAATAAATGGACCTCATATGCGTGTGATGCAGTAACAGCACCTTGAGAATACAGCTCATCCATCCCAATTGCCCTGCAAGATACTCTGCACAGAGCAGGTGGAATATTCCCATAATTGTTCCAAAAGCCTGACCCCCTCTCCATCCCTACCCAATTCCATTCCTTTCCTTTGGAAGAGACAGGGAGGATGTTTCTACAGGGAAGAGAGAGGGCTTTGAAAATGAACGGCTGAGTGTGTGTTGAGGCTTGGTCTCTTAATGTGACCTCCCTGAGCCTCAGTGTTTCCATAGAAATGGCGCTCTGGGCCGGAATTAATAGACATGGCTTCCAGGCCTCTTATTTATTTATTTATGTAAAATAGGAATATTGACTCATTGAGGAACAGTTTGAGATAACACGTGTGAAAAGAACTGTTATAAAACCCACCATCTTACCATCCATCTGCAGTCCCCAAACTGCACACACCCTTTGTCTCCAAGGCTTTCTCCCAGCCCGGCTTCCTCCCCTTCTCCAGTCTTGGGGAGTCTTGTGCTGGCAGAACCTGGCATCCAGTGGTTGTTAGGGTTTTTTTTTCTCCCTGCAGAGGCTGCCACTAGCCTTTCCTTTAATATTCGTGACATCCACCCTGTGGTACCCACAGCAGCTGGTTCTTACAACGTGTCCAGCATGATGTTGAAGACTTTAACTATATCATCTCATTAAATCTTTAAAGCAGCCCTATAAAAGTAGGTTCCATTATAACTCTGTTTTAAAAATGGTAAACTGAGACTTGGAGAAGGATAAGCAACTAGCCCATGGTTCCAGAGCCAGTGCATTCTATTAGCGGAACAAAAGTCAAACCAAGACCATCCAACTATGTAAAACTTGTGTTTACCCCCTATATCAGGCTGCTTGGTAGAGTTAACTGTACCATGTTGTTGGCAATAATTAGGCTGTGAGCTCCTTGGGGTCAGGAGGTATGTCTTAATTATCTCTGAATTTCCTAAGAGCCTCACATGGTGCTCTGGGCCGGAATCAATAGACATGGCTCCCAGGCCACTTATTTATTTATGTCTGCTGCCTGGCTGATTGAGGACTAGATGGCACTACATATCTGAAAGCCTAGATTGGTAGGAAGGTAGGATCCCCTGCTTCCTGATCATGTTACTTTCCAAAGGTATTTGCCAAAGGTGTGGGAGACCCAGCACCAGCAGGGGTCCCCAGGGAGGTACTCTGCTCCACTGGTCATCTTCTATTCCTGTAGTATCCCCTGAAGCCTTGAAGCTGAGCCTTTCTCCTTTTATACCGGGCACACATGGATGGTGGTATTTCTGCTCTCCCTGATTTATTACCCTGAGGAATAAAGCTCACCCAGGAGACAGAGCTGAGTTTCCAAACACTGTGCCAGGAGCTGGATGAAGAGGAGCTGAGGAAAGTCATGCCTCACCCAGTGACACCAGCAGGCCCCTGCCTGGCCTGTGGTGACAGAGACTGATGAGGAATACACTGATCAGGGTCAATGTCAGGGCTGGGGCAGTCATAAACCCAGGGTCCAACCCCCAGCCCCAGACCCTGCCCTCTACGTCCTTGAAGCTCCATCCCTGTGTTAAACTTGGCTCTGCCCATGACTAACTCCTCCCAGGCCACCTCCCAGTTTTCTCACCTGGAACATGAGTGAATCTTCTCGGTTCATTCCCTGGCGGAAGAAGAGGTACCTCGTCTAACCCACTGAAAGCCAGGAGCCAGGGGCCTGTCTATCCTCATTTGACCAAGGAATGGTGGGAGGGAAGGGTAGCCCTCAGGTCTCTGCAGAAATGAGGTAGGGTGGCTGGCGTTCCAACTTCTCCTCCTCTTTCTGTTTGTTCCTAACTTCCTTTGGGGCCCCATATTTCTTCCCCCTTTCTTGTTTCCTATAGCTTCACAAGCAATCTGGAGCAGCTCTGCAAACAGTCACCTGGCCCCCAAATCCCTGGAGGGCTGATATTTATTTAGCCTAGGATACTCTCTCCTGCCTTCTCCCTGATCATTTTTCAGGGCCCACTTAAAATTTCACCACTTTTTCCAAGAAGCAGACCCTGCTCAGTCCTGGAATGGAAACGGTGTTGTGGGATCCCATGGCCTGGCCACCAGGAGCCCTTCCCTGGGCACAGACCTTGCTTGCTCTTGCAGCAGAGCTATTTGCCTCTTGCTCACAGGGGGCTTAGTATTTGTTAAATGAATGAACTAGTGGCCTACAATGGGCAAGGCAGAGAGCCCTGGGCAGGTTGTCAGGGACTTAGGTTCGAATCTTCATTCTACCATGATCTTGCTGTGTGTCATCGGGTCCCCTCTATGGACCTCCGTTTCTGAATCTGCACAGTAAAGCAAATGGCTGGGTGGCCCCTAAGATCTGTTCTGGTTCCGGTTCTGATACTCCGGAATTCTAAGTTCCATAGCTGTGGATGGTGAGGCCCATGGGAGGAGCTGATCCTTCTTGCTAAATGTGTGAGCTGAGCAAGTGGTTTCGATTTCAGAGATGATGACACCATCCGCAAGCGGTGAATCCCAATGGTGAAAGCTCAGGCACTATGGTTGGCAGTGGGAGATTGGTCTGAGGACAGGGAAAACTTTTTAAAACCCCTCAAAGGCGTGTCCTGGGGGTGAATCACCACATCCTTTCCCTGTAACGTTTGTCCGCCTGCTCTGCCAAACTCCCCTTCTAATCTCCATCTTCAATAGAGTGCTGTCATTCCTCCTCTACTGCACGGGTTTCCTCTCCCTTCTCTCTGTCCATGAGAGTTTATGTCTTCTTATTCCTCCGCTGTCTTTTAAGGGATTGCAGGAGAGAATAGACATGATGTGTCAAAAGTGGTAGGTAGTTGGGTTTTTTTTTTTTTAACATTTTTGAAGGCAAAAAGGGACAGTTGTTAAGACCATATTGGACAGACACTAAAGAAACTGTAGGAAAACAGAACCTAAAGAGGTCATAAAAATGAGGCTGTTAGTTATCTCCTGGATGCCCAGTAACCCAAAGCAAGCCCTGCTCCAGGCCAAGCAGGGAACCAACTATGCTGGATTTTGATGTCTTTAAAAATGGGAGGAGGTGCTCAGAACAAGGACGGGCTCCTTAGCAGCTCTGCTCTAACTTGAAGTCTCTCACCACCCACTACCACGCCTGGCCCTGGAGGAACTACGGACAGGGGAGGAAAAAGGCTTGGAGCAGAGTACAGGGGGTAAGACGGGATCCTGGCCATTGGCCTGAGATGGGTGACTTCACCTTGGACGGAGTCTAGAGAGAACCAGCATAGAGTTACCATGGCTCTCGCACCTGCTGCCCAAGACAAGTCACTGAGGGAAATAGCTCTGCCATCCGTTGTGTCTAAAAGGGCGGAGGCCAGGAAGAAGGTGTCGTGTAGAAAGGCTGGTGTTTGGAGCTGGAATGTGGAGGTTCAGTTCTTGATTCTAACTCTCCCGCCGTGTGACCTTGGGCACACCACTTAAACTCTCTGAGCCTCAATCTCTCTTCCGTACAACAGGGATAATGTGTGCACCACAGACAATTGCCTTGTAGATGAAATGAGATAAACCTGATTGAAACATTTACCTTTTAAAATATTCAGAGTGACAGGAGTCAGAAGTCTCCAGAATCCCGCATTCCTGCCCTGCTCATATTCCTTTCCAGAGTGGACATTAGACCGTGAAGCAGTCTACTGCATCACACACTCACCAAGAGGGCAGCACCCGGCCTTTTAGTTATGTCCTAAAGCAAGCCCTGCCCCGAGCCAAGCAGGGAACCAACCATGCTGGACTTCGATGTCTTTAAAAGTGGGAGGAGGTGGCCCAAATAAGGAAGGGCTGTCCTTCCCCACCCTATCAGAGATGTCCTGGTGGCCCTCCTGGTTTCTTATACTGTACTGTCCAGAGATCCCAGGAAGTGGACTTAAGGGTCCCTAGGTGCCCAGTTTTCTGAGCCTACCAGAAAGGATGGAGAGGGAGAGGGAGGCCATGGGGAAAATACTCTGTCTGTCCCCCACAGCCTGCAATCTTCTCTGTACCCTGGAGCCCAGGCAGCAGGGTCAGCCTGGAACCGCCTGAGACAGAAAGATCCCTTTTGTCTGTAAAAGATTCCCATCGATTTCCAAGGCAAGAGCCAGGACTGAATAGCCCGGAGCCCCTCAGGCAGTAGTCTTGGGCAAGAGGCAAAGGAAGGGTGGGCCTGTTCCCTGCTGGCAGCCTGCTGAAGTCTGCCTCCACAAGCTAGACAGAACCCTTGGGTTGCGGTGGGAGATGAAAAGGCCTGAAATGTGGTTCCAGGGTCCCCTAGGTTCCAGGGCCACAAAGCACAAGAACATACATGTGGCTTCTCACACTTTATCCTCCTGCACACAAGCCCTCTCCACCCGGGCAGGCCTGCTTCTTATACTAAAAGACATGCTTCACACCCCTGGCCCTGAAACACACACACACACACACACACACACACACACACACACCATCCTCCTAGGTGCTTAACCCGAAGTCTATGAGGAAAGAGAGGAGGGGATCCTGGGATACTTTGTAAAGTGAGGCTGGCTAAGAGTGGAGGTAAGAGACCACTAGTCTTAACCAGTCATCAAGAGAGAAAGGAGGTGTCCAGGGGCTACTTTATTGCAAGAATGGGTTGCTTTATAGATGTGGAGTTTTTGATTCCTTGCCCACACTATAAACATACCCCAGGCTGTTTGGGGATGAAATCCCTTCTCCAAATATCCTGAGTGCACAGCAGTGTGGATGATTTGAGAGATTCTAGAAGATGGCTTCAAGGGTAGCTCTGCCTCCATCCTGTGGAGTCCTGATTTCTGTCATGGGTGGAATGCTGAGAGACTTCACAGTATAGTGGTGGGCCCCACAGTCCCTCTGCAGAGGGACTTCATCTTGACCAAACAGGATAGAAGTGGCTTGAGATTGTCAAGTAGGGCTGTGTGTGTGTGTGTGTGTGTGTGTGTGTGTGTATTAGTCAGCTTTCCATTGCTGTGACAAAATACCTGAGAAAATTAATGTAAAGGAGGAAAGATTTGTTTTGACTCATGGTTTCAGAGGTTTCAGTCCATGGTCATTTGGCTTTATACCTAGGGGCCTGTGACAAGGCAGAACATCATGACAGAAAGGCATGACAACAAAGTTGCTCACCTCATAGAGGTCAGGAAGCAGAGTGCAAGGAAGGGGTTGATTTGGGAAAGCTACACCCTTCCAGGGCTTAACACCAGTGATCTACTTCCTCCAGCGAGGTCCCCATCCCCTATACTTCACCATCACCTCCCCATAGTCCATTCGTTATGAATCCATCCTCAGATTAACCTGTTGATGCGATCAGAGCCCTTGATCCAATTACTTCTCAAAACCTCCACCCCTCAACACTGCTGCATTGGGAGCCTAGCCAAATACAGGAACCTTTGGGGGACCTCTCAGATCCAAACCCCCACAGTAGATGTGTACATATTGTGGTTTAGATATGTGGTGTCCTCCAAAAGCTCACGTGTGAGACAATGCAAGAAAGCTCAGTGTTGAAATGGTTGGGTTATGAGAGCCTTAACCTAATCAGTGTGTTCACCCACTGACAGGGATTAACTGAGTGGTGCCTGGGGCTGGTGGGGTGTGCTGGAGGAGGTGCATCACTGGGGGCATGCCTTAGGGGATATATTTGGTTAGCTGAGCATAATCTGTCCCTCTGCTTCCTGATCATCTGTGGTGAGCCATGTCAGCGAACCGTGGTCGCCATTACAAGATGGCGCTGATAAGCGCCGTGGCCTGTGATAAACAACTCCTTGTTTTGGGAGAGTTGGCACGTAGCTGTAAAACACCCTATGAGAAAGATCCACGTGGCAGTTGTGCATTGGGGCTTGATGTGCTTTATCAAGGCTGGGGCGCTCAGGTGGAGGAGTAAAGGTAGAAATGGTAGTAGTAGTAATAATAGTAATAATAATAATAATAAAAGAAGCTTCCAGAGACACATAATTAAAGGCCTAAATAAACTGCTGAAAGAAGAATCCTGTGTCGTGTCCTCCTTGCTGGCGAGGGGTCACAGCAATCATCATGTCTAGCTTCTTTCTTCTGCCACACACTTCCACCATGATGTTCTGCTTCACATCAGGCCCTAAGGAATAGAGTCGGCCATCTACAGACTGAGACTTCTGAAACCATGAGCCTCAAAATAAACTTAAAAAAACATTTATCCTGCTTAAAATTGTTCTTATCAGGTTCTTTTTTTTTTTGTCACAGCAGCAAGAAAGTTGACTAAACAGTATGTGTGTGTGTGTGTGTGTGTGTGTGTGTGTGTGTGTGTGTGTGTGTCACATAGGGGTGCAGATTTACTGGGCTTTCCCTACTGACAAATTCTACCCTTTCCTACAGCAGTTCCAGCCCTCGAATCCTTCAGAATGTCTACTCAGCACTCCCTGGGCCACAAAGGACACGTGCCCTGGCTTCATCTCTTCCGAGGCTGACTCTAATGGAAAGAAATCCTGCCGTCTCAGAGAGGTGTCCCAGCGCAATGCAGGCAGAGGCTCTGGTGTCAGGAGCCCTGGGGCCCGTATCAGGCTTGCTAGTCATCAGTGTGTGCCTTGAGTGGTTTGCCTTTTTGGAGCCCAGGATTTTTCAGGTGTAAAAATGGGGATAACACATTGCCCCTCTTCCTGGATGGTTCTGAGGATGAAATAAAGCCACCTGTGCAAAGTATTGGACCCATCCCAGGCTTCCACACAGATGGGAGGTGGTTCTTGGGCATGTGGAGTGGGTTTCAGTCCCCTGGTACCCCAGCAGAGGTCGACTGAGGATGACTTCAGGGCCAGGATTGCTTCGGAAGCAAGTGAGGCATTCGACTGGCTGGTAAATTCCCTGGGAAAGGGGTAGATACGAAAGTACTTTGCCTTTCTCTGACTTAGATCAGATTTACTCAAAAAATGACTGTGGCCCATGGTCCTCTCAAAATGTTTGTTTCCCAGTGGCACTGATGTAAGTGTAGAAGTTAAAAAAGGAGTATTTCAGAACTTTGACATTGCTGAAATATTTATATGATTTCCAATATGGGCTTCTCTTTTATTTCATTTTTCAATTTCAGTTTTATAATGATTCATTCTTATTGATCATTGACCTGGAATGGATTGGGGAAAGGAAAAAGAAAAAAAACAAAACTGGTCCTTTGCCACATATTGTTTGAGGAGCACTGATCGAAGCCAGCTACAGATCCAATTAGGGAAAGAAGAGGACCGACCTTAACAGGATGGTTGCAAAAATCAGCCACAAATCACACATTGATGAGTTGGCAGTATTTCCTTCATTACCTAAAGACAGACACTCTAAATCTCTTCCCACTTGCCTGTTGCCCCAGCCCCATGCCCTGGGTGCTGTGAAGCCAGGCCCTAAGTTCCAAGTTTATAGTTGGGAATCAGTGCTCCGTCTCTCCCGGTGTGTCAGCTGTGGTCTACCCTGGAGCAGGCAAAGGTAACCAGTTGGAGTCAGACAGGTTCTTTTTCCCTTGCTGCACCCCCACTCAGCCAGGTGTTGAGAGGGGTTGGGGGTCCCATGCATAGTGAGACCTTGCTGCCCCCTGCTCTCTCTCCTTGGCTCCTCCTCCACACCAGAGCTCCGCTAGGATATAATAAGCCTCTTTCTCCCTGGGCTGAAAGCCGGGAAGATCAGTGGTCCAAGTTGCTGGCCTAGGACAGAGGGCCACAGGGAGAGTGTGCAGTTAGACGGGGACACAAATGAGCCCAGAAGGGTGGAAAATATGGACCGTGTATCCCTGTCCCCATCTTATGCCTTGTTTGTCCTTCAGTTCTAGGAGGCTCAGGGCCAGGGGGACTATCTCAGCTCAAGTGCTTAGACCTCCTTCGACATGACTCTGATTGAAACTATTTACCAGCGTTATCTAAAATCTCTTTTATATTAAATTACTTCCTGGTAGGAAACCAACAGGTCAGAGCTTAGAAATAAAGGCAAGTATGCTACCCAGCCTTGCCCCTCTTCTCCCTTGACTCACTGCATACCTCCTCTGTCCTGTCCCTGCGTCACATGCCCCCACTGCACTGAGAGTTCCTTGGGGCAGGCGGGGCCACGTCCACTCATGTCTCTCCCGGAGTGTTGGCAACAGTGTCTTGTGAAGAGTAGGCCTCAGTAAATACCTGCTGGCTCCTTGATGCTCTGGCATACTTTGGAGAAGAGGCATGTGGGCCTGGCCCAGAGCTTATAAAAAGCCACCTGGGAGGCTCCTCCCACCCCCTCCCCCGCCTTGGGCTTTTGATTATGATCTGCAGTCGGACTTCAGCTGGAACAAACCCCTAGCATGAGAAAGCTAAATAGCCTTTCACCCATGTCTAAGCCGCTTTTACTTCTCCTATCTGATCTCATTTGCCCCGTGAGCTCCGAGGAGGGATGAGTCGATGTGGGCATTACCCCTCTTACAAGGAAGAGCATGGAGAAATTGGAATGGAAGGTATGGGATAATAAATGCCTGTGTGGGGCCAAGTGTTGGGGCTTGGCACCGGGGATGGCAGGATGAGTAAGTCCACATTCCCTCCTTTGGGTGCCTCACCATCCAACTCATGCTGTATAACCAGGTGACCAATGGTGACATGGACGGGGGGGAGGCCTCACTGAGGAGGTAGAATTCTGAAGGTTGTGGAGGATTCTGCCAGGTGGAGAGGAAAGAAGGACGTGTGGGAGGGTGTGTGTGTGTGGAACTGGTGAGACGGATGTGGTTTCCCAGGGGATGGTGACCTGCTGAGGGTCGCTTTTCTGTCACAGATGCTGAGTAGTGACCCATCCACTGCAGGCAAAGGTAAGACAGTTGAAGACAGACAGGTTCTTTTTTCACTCAGTGTGGTCTGAAGATGGATCATACTAGAATCATCTGGAGAAATGTTAGAAAAGCAGATTTTAGATGGTTCTGGAAGTTAAGACCACCACCACCACAGGTTTACTCCTATTCCCAGCCTCATCCCTGACTGGTCAGGGGCAAGGTGGCAGATTGGGCTGTGGGTCTGCGAAATGCCTGTGGCTGCACAAAGCGGGGTTCCTTGTCATTCTGACATACCCAGACTGCGCTGTTACAGATCAGATGGCAGGTATGCCCAGACCACAGGAGCTAGGGACAGGACTCTAGGACTCTTTCCTTAGACCACTGGACAAGGCACAGTGAGAAACAGAAACACTTTTAATCAGAGGCCTGATTATCTGAAAGTCTGTAATGAACAAGGCATCCGTCAATTATTTCCAGAAAAATTTCCTTAGGAAATTTGTCAAGTTGATGCAGAATGTCTAGAGTCATGCAGAATGTCTAGTGGTTCGATATGATAGCCGCTAGCTTACATGTGGTTACTGAAGTTGAACATTTCCATTGTCACAGAAAGTTCTACTGAATAAGACTCAAGAGAAAACACCTTCTATTCTTACATGCATTCATCAGAAATGTGACATTGGGCCTCCTGTGTAGGCTGGGGGAAATGGGACAAATGGTCAACCCCGAATGACAAAGCTCTAGGTGGGTCTCAGATACCTGGACAGCCAGTTCATCTGGTTAGTCAGTTCAGTGGGGGAAAGAGATTAAACTGGTGAGTAAACATCATTTGTACAGTGGTGACATTGCTAGTTTATGAAAAGATTCCCTTTGCAGCTACTCAGTCATTTTACAAACATTTGTGAGGTACCTGCTGTGTCTCAGCACCATGTCTAGACACTGGGGAGAGATACAACACTGATGAGACAGACGTGGCTCGTCCCCCTGTGGAACTTTGAGCCCTGTGTGGTGGAATGCTAGCCTCACAAGTGAAACTCCAAGCATTTCCAATATGGCTTCAGGTTTCTCTCCCAGGATCTATTCCAACCAACTGCCTATGGTTTCCAATAAGAAGATACAGCACAATTCTGAAGAGCCCAAATTGCGTTTCATAGTGAGCAATGTACAACTGTGTTCCTAAATGTCCCAGGCTTTCTCTAGGAGGCTGTGAAACCCAGCAAGCTGGAGCCATCTGGACATACTTAGAACAACAGAGGTGAGAGCAGCAGCCTACGGGCAGCTTGGGAGGCCGGAGGGAGCTCCCAGGAGCAGCGGTGGTAAACAAACCGAGTGGCTGGTGAGATGGTTTGGCTGGAGAGGCTCCTTATGCATGGAGGTTCAAAGCTTTGAACAGAGTCTGCGGGGCAATCATAACAAACGATTTGATTGAATTACCTACCACAGATTTTTTTTTTTTCTAACTGGCTTTTGAGGGCGACAGCACTTCTGAGATCCAAGTCTAGCAAGAATTTGCCACAGGTGATTTTTCAGATTATTTTACAGAATAACATCTTTGTGAGACTCAGGAAATAAACAAGCCCTTTGAAAAAAAAAAAGGGGGGTGGTGGGGTGCGCTCAGGCACACAACGCCGCAACTTAATTTTCCAATTTCAAAATAGCCATGTTTGTGCCTGATAAAAACGCATGTCTCAAATTATAACTAGAAGTCTTTTCGAGTGCCACTCATCTGTTCTCAGAAAAAAAAAATGTCTATAAAGACATGTTGCAAAGTGTTTTATGAAAAACACTGAAGGTCCTGGGAAGGGGAGGTTTCAGTTCATATTGTAGCCAACTGTTTAAAAAGACAGAGCAGTGAGGAATGTAATTGTTTATTGAGAATGGGCTTATTGTTACCACAATCTTCAACACAAATTACTCTTAAGGAGCATTTCTTGGGGACGTGTTATGTGTATAGCACTGATCTGGCCACAGAGTAGACATGAAAGGAATAATAAAAATTGGCCTAATTCCCACACTTGCAAATTTCCAGGAGAGAAGGCACAGGTGAGGCTCAGTGGATAGGAGACTTTGCAGCATGGGGGGACCTGAGAAGGCTTCCGGAAGCAGGGGTCTTAGAGCTGGATTCTGCTCGTTCAACTGTCTGGTACAGTGAGTCTTGGAGAAGGAGTTTTCCAACTCCATCAGCTTGTTCAGGCCCATGGGCTTCACCTTGAACTTTGGAAATTGCCCCTAACTGATCATCAACATCAATTAGGATTGTCATTGAACTTTATATATTTTTTTTTGTGGCATGAAGAATTGAATTGGGTCAGGGAGAGATTTATAGCAAAACTCTAAAATTGTATTGGTTTCTTCTAGAATGGATTTGGGAAGTCTTTGATGTGTGTGAGTGAAGTCTCCATCAATAAAGTACAAGCCACAGGCCTGATGCTGGAGAGCAGGTATATATAGGGATTGTAAGTGCTGTAGAGTCACAGAGACCTGGGTTTGCAGCCGGGGCACACTCCGTGAGATCTTAGGCAAGTTCCGGAACTCCTTAACCCTCAATTTTCTCATCTAGAAAATGGTAGTCAAAGTACCCTAGTGTACTATTGAGCCTGTGGTTAGTGCTCAATTGATGTTGGCTACAATAGAAATGACCTCCTGAAATCTTAGCTATATGTGGTTGAAGCCAAGCATTTTGGGTAGGGAACAGTTGGGACAGAAGACTTTTCTTGGGGTTAAGTAAAAGTCTAGAGAGAGCTAATCTGCCTGAGAAAAGTTATTGTCAACATCACTCTCCACCAGCAGCCCTACTCCATGTGATAGGACCAGACATGTGTCTTTCCTGTCTTGCCACACAGTGTTAATGTAGCCAGTGTACAGCTTGTCCTCCACTGCCTGACTGTAAGTCCCTTTGGAATTGGGACTCTAACTTATTAATTCAGCGGCAAGCCCGAGAAGCATTAAGC